AACCACCTCTGGTGGCAGGCTGTTCCAGACCCTGGGGGCTTGGACAGTGAAGAAATTCTTCCTTATGTCCAGCCTGAAACGGTCTCGCAGTAGTTTATAACGATTCAACCTCGTCATCCCTTGGGGCGCTCTGGTGAACAAGCATTCCCCCAGATACTGGTGGTCACCCCTGATAAACTTATAGGTGGCCATCAGATCACCCCTGAGCCTGCGCTCTTCCAGGCTAAAAAGCCCCATAGCTCTCAGCCTGTCGTCATAAGGGCTGTTTTCCTGACCTCTGATCTTGCGCATGGCTCTTCTCTGGACTCTCTCAAGCTTCTCCACATCCTTTTCAAATTGTGGGGCCCAAAACTGGACGCAGTACTCCAGCTGTGCGCCTCACCAAGGCCGAGTACAAAGGGAGAATGACGTCCTGGGACTTGCTTGAGAAGCATCTATGGATGCAAGCCAGCATTTTGCTTGCTTTACTAGCCACAGCATCACATTGAAGGCTCATGTTCATCTTGTGGTCAACGATGACCCCCAAGTCTCTTTCTTGCATAGTACTAGCCAGCGTAGCACTGCCGAGCCTATAAGCATGCTGCAGGTTTTTCCTCCCAAGGTGGAGAACTTTGCATTTTTCAGTGTTAAACACCATCAGGTTCTCACCTGCCCATTTGCTGAGCCTGTCCAGGTCAGCCTGGATCGCCCTCCTGTCTTCAGGTGTGGATGGTTTGCCCCAAAGTTTGGTGTCATTGGCAAACTTGGCCAGTCCACTTCTGACTCAAATGTCCACATCATTAATGAAGATGTTGAACAATATGGGTCCAAGGACAGGGACTTGCAGGGACCCCACTGCTCACAGGGCACAATGACGATTGACTTCCATCAATTACCACCCTCTGGGTCCGACCACAGAGCCAATTTCCCAGCCAGCGGATCATGGTGGACCCAAGGCCACAGTTGGCCAGTTTCGTCAAGAGGTGATCATGGGATACCAGTTCAAAGGCTTTTTTGAAGTCAAGATATATGACATCAATCTCTTCCCCCTTGTCCAGGTGATAGGTCACCTAGTCGTAAAAGGAAATGAGATTGGTCAAGCAAGACCTATCCGCAACAAACCCATGCTGGCTCTCTCTCAGGATGTTGGGGACAGCCAGTCCATCAAGGATGGCCTCTTTATTAAACTTTTCTAAGACCTTCCCAGGGATAGAGGTCAGGCTGATGGGCCTGTAGTTTGCTGGTTCCACTTTCCTCCCTTTCTTGAAGATAGGCACCACAATGGCCTTCTTTCAGTCTTTAGGCACTTCACCAGAGCGCCAGAAGTTCTCAAAGATCCATGCCAGAGACTGGGCTATGATGCTCACCAGGTCAATGACTAGGCTGTAAATACCAGACCCCAGCCACAGGGAAATTTGCCCACCATTACCGAGAGATTAATCCACCTTCACCAGGGCTTGTGGTCAGCTGCCTGAGCACAGATTCAGCCCTCTTCTTTCTCCAACCTGCTCTTTTGGTCTAACCAGCCTAGCAATACAATGGCTCTAGTCATCTTCAGCTGAAAGGGACCCAATAACCCAGTCTCCTCTTTCCAAATCAGAGCAATTCCTCAAAACTGGGAATATTTTGGCTCTGTCTCCATATTAAAACTCTGTAAATGACAAAATAAACTCTCTCCACTGCTCCTCCCACTCAGTGGAAGGTCAGAACATACTGAGCTCGACCAGCATACAACAGATACCACCTTGCAGGACAGAAAAGGATCCATGCTGGAGAAAGAAGCATTTACCATGCCATGCTGATGTCAGGTCACCATCAACACCCCTGCTGCAAGATACCTGGTCCAGTGCCAGCACTACAGCTGTGTTCGGCAGAAAAGTAGACAAACATAAGGCTGGGCCTATGTAACAAGCTTAGGTTCTGTGCCAGTGGCAGGGGTATGAAAGGTCTATTACAGCTTCTCCTCTACAAGGAACATTCTTCCTTCTGCACAAACCCACGTGCCCTCTAAAATCTCCAGAAACAGAGCAGAAAAGAGTCTCTTCCAGAACAGAACCTGATGGGTGACAGGGCCTGGACTGAAACACTTTGGGACAGAGAAGGAGAAGCAAACAGGACTTCTCCATCCCCACTTAAAAAGTAATACCTGTCACACATCCCTACAGCAGGTCATGCAAAATACTTGGGACATTACAGGATGGCACCAAACCCCAGGGTTCGGATCACATACTCACTCCCACCAGGTTTGATACTTGCTTGACCCAAAAGTCACCCAGGGCAAAGACTGTGAGGAAAGAAAGGAGAAAGCTGAGAGTGGGGGGAAGGAGGGAGGGAAATGGGGGACGAGCTAGCAAACCTTTTTATCTTTAAACTACTGTTTAATTTTTCTTGCTCAGACTGAGATGCTTTGAAACTCCTCATAAGACAGGCTGGGACCGATTCCTGTGCTGCCACTAGCAAGCCCCTCTGCTCTATGATCATTCTTCTGTCATGCGCACTGCTGTCTGCAAGCTTTGCAGGGATACCAAAAAATTCAACCCCGCTGCCTCCACAGTTTTCCTGACTTCTCTCAACAATGAAGTTATCACAAGGAGAGTCTGCTTTTCACTCTCACCTCCTCAGAGGGGTGACCCCACTGTGCAAACCCCACACTGATTAAAAGTTATTTCCCTTATCTTCCTTCTTTAACCTTCACATCAGTGATAGAGGGTTAGCAGCCACAGAGAGCCATTTATGGCAAAACAAGAACCATGACTAAGAAAAAGAAAAAAGAAAAAGTTTGGGGAGAAAGTTCTAGAAACATTCAGTTCCCTTGGATTTATGCCCATTTCATCTTGGAAACAAGCTCAGAGTTAGGTATACAATAGATTTGTTCAGCTGAGCAGAGGTCGTCTTTGGGCTGCTGGACTGATTCATTAGAGCTGCCATACAGGAAAATGTCTTTGAGCCCCGTGGGGATTCTCACCAGGGTGCAAACAGTTGTAGGGTATGGAAAAACATGCTTCTTAACTGATTCAGAATGGGGAGGGAAGGGACCTACTGCTTGGGAGTGTGCAGCAACTGTTAGGATCTTACTGTTGCGAGTGCACGTTCTTGCAGCAATACAAATGAACTAAATCACCCCGACTCAGACCCCAAACAAAGCAGGATTAAAGGTGGAGCAGTTTTGCTATACTTGTATTGACACAGAATCAAGTGGAGGTACCACATGCACTGTAACAGCTTGTATCAGCATCATTACCATCAATACCATTGTTTTGTATGTCTACATCCTCGACTACCTGTGTGCTAGCTTGCAGGCAACTACTCCTCTCACAAAGAAGCCTACCTTATCAAAACAGTCAGAGACTGAACAAAACAAATCCCAAGATAATTCACTGGCTGTGGAAGCCTTCGCCCCCACCTCTATCTGTAATGAGATGTCTACCATTCTGTCACCCAAGAGGCAGATACCATGAAGCTGAGACCAAACAGCTCTAGGATAGGGCTAGCTTAGAATACAAAAGGTACCTGCACATGCCCCCACCCCAACCCCTGTATGGAAAAACTGACGTGCTCTCAAGCAGCATGCCCTCCAAGCTGTGCGACATGCATGGCTGCGCAACTGCGTGCATGCCGCACTGCCAGGAGCACCTGCGCACACTGCACAGCTTAGAGGGAATGCTGCTCTCAACCTAGAGAGTTCATTACAAGACTCAGAAGCATTCTGTGGGCACATCTACACAAGATGTTTACTGCAGAGTTGCCCAATTAACTCTGCAGTAAAATATTACCATCTACACAGGAATAAACTAATTAACATCTCTGTAGTTTAGTACTGGTAGACACAAGTACAACCCCTTTGGTGGAAGTTATTTACTCAGCAGCAACACACGTGTAGACACTGACAGGGCTGGCTGGGGCACAAGAATGCTTCAGCGTGGAGGCTGCCTGCTGTTTTTAAATTTTTTAAAATTAGACTTGAACCCACACAAGGCTACCTACATGCAAAGCAACCTTCTTGGACTCCTACCCCTGTTCCTTCTTGCCTGGTCCAGCTGGTCATCCTACCAACATCCTGATTGGTCCTGTGCCAACCACATGCCCACTCACTAAAGTGACTATGGTATTTGCACAGCACACATCTGCCCAAGCACTAATTTCCAATGCCAGCAATATTACCAGCAGAGACCAAGTTCTTCTACAGAAACACTGAACCCCCAGTTACAAAAGTTACAGTTCTGCAGATGTTGGTCATAGACAGAAGGCTGGAGCCAGGGAAGATGCTCTGTTCAATTCCGGTTATGTTATAAACATGGCAAGGCTAATGGCCCACCCCCTCTTGCCAAGTTAAATGCAGTAAGAAGGGAAACTGGGCAGCATATGGAAACTTCACATGATAATGTGTCCAAGCTTTTATGGATAAGAGACACAAGAACACCTATAATGAGGTAGAGGAAAGAAAGTCAGGTATAAGCCACCTTGCACAGCACAGTTTCCCAAGGTGGGCTATGGGCCCGTCTGCAGAATAGTGAAAGGTGGGGAAAGAGGCAGGAGTCAATATACCCGAAAAGTATCTCTCTAAATTATTCTCTCATCACTTTCTATAACCTGAATGCCTAGTAAGTATAATGTAACAAAAGATTAAGCAAAGTCCTTGATTCTTTTCAACCACTAACCATGCAAACTGCTTCACACAGCTTTTGCACAGAAACAACTACATCAGTTCAGGGTGCAATTTTTTATTCCCCTTCCCACGCAGGAATAGGCTATCTTGAGACAAAGACCTTTATACCCACATATCTCCCAAGGTGGGCTGTTAAAATGGTACAGCTTTTGCATTTATACAAGCTGTATGAAATTAACAGGAAGTTAACTTAACCAAAATAAACTGATGCAAAAAAAAAAATCTTATTCTAACATACTGCAGTACAATGCCAACCTTTAGAAACCCTTTCAGATTTTTATTTTTTATACAGTAGGCTGCGCCTGAAAAATGAACTGGACCAGTTTGTTAGTGGCATGCCTGCAGGAAAGCTCACCATTGCGATCTTCAGATCTGAGGCTCTTCTTTGCAACTTCTGCCAGTGCTCCAATGCCAAGACCAACAGCTAATCCTGTAAAAAGGGGAAGGGAGGGGGAGAGAGGGAGAGCCAGAAGTTCAATCAGTAAGTGAATGAGAGAAAGATGTGACCATCTATATATGTTATACCACCCAAATACACAGATCAGAGAACTCAACAACACCTGTATGCCCCAATATACAGAACTTTATCATTTGAAAGCAGAAAAACTGACAGCACACAGGATTTCAGCTGTTATATATGCATATAAAATACCATGATTAGAGCAGCCTGACTTTTGTGACAGACTGATCCTGCAGTTCCATGCCAATCCCCCTTCTACTGCCTCCTTCCATTCTCTCTGGCACAAGGCCGCTCTCATATCATGTTAAAAGAGTTATACAACTCTTGTAATCAAAGGGACACACCAATGGGCAGACAAAGTCTTGCCACCTCCTGCATGTAGCCATGCATTAGAGTGGTGCTGCAGGATAGGCATTTAGGAAAATTTGTTTACAAACCTGGTTTTGACACCAGTTACACTATCAGTTACAGTTACTACAGGAATGAAAAAAAAAGCCACCTTCCCTGCCCACAGCAGTAAGTAAAACCACAAGCTTGTTAGGCAAGGTTGTTACTAGTGAGTTCAATGGGGGGGGGGGGGGGGGGGGGTGAAGAGGGTCAAACAAGTTGACCCGGTCTATGTAAGGGGTTTCCTCTCCTCCTCAATTAACTCCACTTCTCCCAATAACAATTTACTCTTTTTTTTTTTTTTTTTTTTAAACAGTGTGATCCCCCCCCAAGTAGAACTAAGCTCCATCTTGATACCTTACAGACTGCCCTCTCTACTCCCAAACACCCAGTGTGAAGCTAGATGAGGACAAACTCTAGAGACATTATAATGTCGTGTTAAACATTAGCCATCACTGACTGTTTTTCCTTGATCAATTCCAAGGTTGTTTACACATCATTTAATCCTAATAAGGCAAGCTGAGCTGTCTCTCAGATACATACTGAGCTCCGACAGTAAAGGAAGCTACTATAGATATGGAACGCTAAGTATTCTTTTAAAGCATCATTCATAAAATTGTACTTTAACAGTGCCTTTCAGAAGAGTGCTCTGAATCCATACAGGAGGTTAGGATTTCAGGTATGTAAAACAGCAATACACAGAGACCATGAGTTACAGGACTAAACCTTGTCTTATGCAGGGACAGCGCTGTAGTCATAAAGCCTCCATAGTGAACAGCTGGTTTAAGACTAAGGATATGCTACTCCCAGAACCAAAACAAAAACCCTCCAGAGGAACTACTTCTCAATATGGCCAAAAATGTTTATATTCAGGAATAATACCCATGCAGCTACTGCAGACAACATGAGGATACTGAGCATCTCTGACTCCATCCATTATACAAGAGTAGTGATGCATACAAACTGTCCAACTGACTTAACAGAAGGAAGCAAGAAGAATCAGGCTCAATGGCATAAAAAGTGGAAAAAATAATGTCTTTACTAACAAAGGGCAATTTCATAGGCTGCGAATGAGCACTGGCCTCCAGCTCTCCCATTCCCCTCCTACAGAACTAGGTGTGTCAGCAATACGCCCATTTATATTAAATGCAGAGCAGTGTTCCCTATCAAAGCTCCATTTGATCTTCCTCTCAATTCTGACCTCATTTGGCACTCTTTTGTGTCTCTTCCATCCCAGCATTGTTCCAATTTGAGTCAGCCCACACCTGTTAGAAATGACCCCACTTTTCATACTGCACAAACAGCAATTTAAGTTTGTCCCTCCCAATTTAAGAGAAAAGCAAATAAACATGGCATCGTCTCAGAAACATTGATATCCATTTATTTATTCTGCCCCGAGTCTCTTTTGGCAAGGGCAGCACATTAATTAAATATATGCATACTCTATTAACAGACAAAACACTTTATAGTCAAATGGTATCAAGAACCAGATTCTATCCTAGGATATGGGCTCTTGATCCATTTGCACACCAATGTACGCTATTACCCTACGATCCAGAGCAAACAGCTTGTATTTCAGAGTAGCAGCACACAGTAGGCTGCTATTACTGAATCCCATCATTAGTTGACAGGGAATAGGCAGTAGCCAGTTTGCTCAAGGCAAACTCCTATAAACACACTATACCTATACTAGCATAGTTTACACTACTGTAGTTTTGGTGTCAATTTTTCCTGAAGTTAATTCTATAGACCAGAGCTTTCCAAACTTTTCATGTTGGTGACACACTTTTTAGACATGCATCATTTCGCGACAGCAATTCAGTTCCGGGGGAGGGGCTAAGGGAAGCAGACGCGAGTAAGGGAGCTCCGCGGTGCCCTTCCGCAAAATTTTCTGCATTTCATGCGACACACCTACACACTGCCGCCGACACACTAATGTGTCGCGGCACACAGTTTGGAAAGCTCTGCTATAGACTAACATAACTTAAACAAATGTAAGGCTGCATACCATGTATCCACTTCTTTTTAATCCACTAGAAAGGCTGATTATTCCAAAGTAAACATATTGTGCCACCAAACTTTTAGCTATCAGTATAAAATCAGGATCAATTCCAGCACACTGAAAACTAGTCCTTGCTTTGGTGAAACTAAAATGAGAATATGGCCCAACATTCATCACGCTGCATATCCTGCAGTTCTAACATCTTTATAATCCAATCTGAAAAATGAGAATGCAAAAATCCCTCCTGGAAAAGGCTGCTGGGATCTACATTATATACAAGAGATTAAAAAGGAGTATTTGTTAAAATTGGCCCTTCTTAAATTACTCAAGGGTTTTCCACCTAGAAAATGTGTACCAAGTAATAGCAAACAACTGCTCAAAAGAGATGAAGGAAATGCACACATAAGCAAGTTTAAGCCTTGACAGCTGCTTTCTATTCAAGCCCATGAAGTCCTAACACTGATCACAAGCTTTTTGACGCTATGGTGAGAGTCTGACAGGATGACTGTCCTCCAGGCATTATAATGACATGCAATAAGACACCCCCACAGTGGATCTTCTGATAAAAAGAACTATTTGGAAATGCAAGAGGGTATAAAACAATGTCCAATTCTAGTTTAAACAGAGTGGGAGGAGGGTACAAAACACTCTCAGGAGTGAGTGGGTGGGATTGAACTATTCTGACATTATACAGGAGAAAGGGCAGGAACTGATTGTACTGCAAACTCTCCATTTCTCATGGGTTATTGATGACCTGGAAGCTACTGCATGGTTTTCCACCTGCAGATTGTTTCTTTAGACATTTTCCCCAATGTTTGCCAACACCTATTATGCTAAAAACTAAAATCAAGTGTTAGACATCCTGGAAGCACGTCTGTTCAAAAGAAATCCATTCATCAAGCAAGTGACACAACAAAGCAGATGGATGTTAAACAATTGTGTATTGTTCTGCACAGCTTGCCAGGCTCCAAAAATGGAAGGTATTTTTCTCTTCAGTGGCATATGCTCTGTGTATGGTCATGTCTTGCCCTGCAAAGACTAAACAGCATGCTGCTGTGCTGGACAGTGGGGCTGCTGTGTTGCTTGGGGCAGCTTTGCACAGCACAACTTTAGCAAGCAGCACTGATTTCCTTTAGTTTCCTGGATTACTAAATACAGTCTTCTTTCCCCTCTCCTTTCCACTTAAAAATTAAATAAAAGAACTGGTTCCTCCCATATGTACTGAAACAAGAACAGACTGCATGTGTTAAGGCAGCATCTGTACTTTCAGAACAATCTGACAGAAACCTTTTACAAGGAGAATGCCTCCACTGAAAGTTAGGAGCTCCTCAATTCACGCTTCTGTCACAGTGCTAGGTAAATCAGCCACCACTGGAGGTGTACTCTGGATAACATGCCATGATACCCATCATATATAAGTGCATGCAAAGGGGAGACGTGTTCAGGGAAGGGATTTATTTCTGTTCAGCAGAAAATTCCAGTATCTCACACACATTACATGCAAGTGCTGGAGAAGAGAACACCCCAAGCCCTAAGGTGGTGTACAGCCAGCTACCGCTCTTATCCTAAAAAGGCTATGATTCAAGGCAAGCTCCCAACAAGAGGCCATGCACTTTGTCCCCTTTAAAACTGAAAGTCACTGGCAGGCCCATTCCAACAAAAAGATGGGGTGACCAAGATGTTCTCTAGAACATGGGTCCAGTTGATTGAGTTCAAAGGGTGGAAAAGAAACTCCAAACTGGTACCTTTCTACTGAAACAGGAGAGGATTCAACAACAGGGAATGTTTAGAAACAGCAGCAGCAACAATGGATCCTGAAAGGGGTGGCACTGAAAGACTAATGTGACACACTGGTTTTGTAATATTTCTGGTTTAAATGTATCCATGTTGCATGCCAGTTTCACTGTCTAGTTTGTAAGGTGGAGGGAAGGGGGTGGAGAATGGGTGGAGAAGAGGAGTTAAGAATGAATGAAATCAGAGCTGCCTTGCCTACATTGTGGACTAGGCAGGATCAGGGACCAAATGGCTGGGTCTCATAGCTGCAAAGGAGCCAGAGCTCACTCCACAAGCTACACCTGAGCAGGCTTCAGGGAGTCTTCAGCGAGGCCCCCTCTACACATTACATTTCTGCCACTATTAACTGGTTTGCTGGGCAAACTGCAGCCCACCAATCAGTCTTTCCTGCCCTCCAAAGGGCTAGGCAGTCCCCATCTCCATCCAGCCTGCACAGCCCCAAGCACCCCAAAGTTAGCTCAGCTATTCTGTCCAGAGGTTTGTCAAGTTCACCTGACGTTTCAAGAAGCTATTCAACACTGTTGCTAGAGGTGCATCCTTGTCTAGTCCAGCACATAGGCAAGGCAGCTCTGGCTTCAGTCACTCTTAACCCTTTCTTTCCCCACCCCCTTATCAACTAGGCAGCGAAACTGAGGCGTCCAGAATGAACACATTTAAACCAAGAATATTACGACAAACTAAATTAACTTATTAACAGCAGCATAAATGGCAAGGGTGATAAACATGCACTCAATTTAAGGAGCTGCAAAATGGCAAACTCGTAATAAAAAAGAATGTTCCGCATATAATATAGAACACTTATGCCCGGTTTGTGTGATACCTTAATTGAATGTGTGGCAGGTCCAGAGTCCGGGCCAACAATTGGCTAATTCTCAGCTCCAGCCCTGGGACCACACCAGTGTCTCAAACCAGCCACAGGGCTGGGACCAACAATCAACCCTGGGGGCACATGGCTTTCAATTTAGCAGTGCAGAGAGAGCCTGGGATCATGATCAGGCACATGCATATATGGCATGGCAGAAGGCACAACTGTTGGGACCAGATTCCTATGGTGCCTTTAAACAAACATGTTCCAGAGGCCAAAGAGACCAGACAAGGCTGGGGGTCCCAAAGAAGTGCTCAATACCCTGGAGAAAATCCATGATACCTGGTACTTGTTTGTCTACGCTCTAGGGAGAATTAAAAGACAGATTTGGTTTTCACCTCCCCGTTCACTCTCCCCAGCATGCCAGAGATACCTCTCTGCGCATAACAGAGTAAGAGAACCAAGTCACTGCTGTCCCTCCAAAAGTTGCAGAATAGCCAAAACGCCTCTCTGTCGCCATTACTTCTTTTTAACCTAAGCCTCTCCAGCAAAAAAAAACCCCAAAAAACCATCACAGCCACTAAATATATCATTTGGCAATCTCTTTATGTGCCTTCAAATGAATCCATCAGCATATAAAAGGTCTCCCCCAAAGTTCAGGGAGAGCAGACCACTTGAAGCTCACTGTCAATTTACTTGCTGTTAACAATTAAAGACTAGCAAAGGCCACCTAGAAATTCCAGAGGGCCTGGGGAACATGAAACCCAAGTAGAGGGGCAAGAAATAGCAGTATCTAGCCTGTCCCTCCTGGCTGACCTCTGCAATTGCTCATGGATTACTGGGTCAAACTTTACTCTCTGAACAGCAGAGGCCAGCCTCCCTTGCCCTTCCTGCCTGGCACTGCTCAGTGGGTATTGCAATTCCTGGAATTGGCTAAGAATCCTAAGAAAAAGCAAAAATGGTTTACAGCTCTTGACATCAGTGAATGCTTTCTCGGTGAAAGGCATGATTATTAAGCAGACCACCACCTTATGCATTTGTTTTTAAGAAAGTCTTGTTATTTGCAACAGCCACATTAGTAGCTTGATAATTCTTCCTTCTGGTTTTACTCTGAATCAGCAAAAATGTGTACATTGCTGTTTTACTGGCAGGAATACTTAACTTCTCAGTGGCTGCATGGATGTTAAACAGAAACACAAACTTGCCTGGCACTAGCTAATTAATGCATTCCCTATTGTTTAATCCTCTCCTGACTGCCATACAAGCTGCAACCCATCCTCTGACTAATGGGAAGCCCAAATGCAAGAAATGCCCAGCAACTGCAGCTCACATCAGCTTCAGAGGAATTTCCCAGCATTCAGCTCCATCAATAACCTACCTCTGAGCTTTGAAGTCACTGAAATTACTACAGCAGAGTAGCTCAAGGGATCTCATACAGGCATTGAATGTCATGCTGGAATTTTAAAATGGACTGTCAAACTTTAATATGAAAAGGGCCTCTCTCATCAGATTAGAGCCAGCCAAGAAAAGCAACGTACTAGAGAACTAGCTGGTATGGCTTTACATTGTATTTTTTTTTTCTTCTCATGCACATGTGCAGGCCAGAAACAGTTCTAACCTTTGAGAAAAAAAATTCGGAGAAGCCGTCTCTAGCTATAAATGAGGACAAGCATTCCATATAAACAAGCACAAGGTCTGTCAGTAACAGTAACTAAGTGCTATTTTTAAATGTCAAAGCAGTTGGGGCAGGTATAATAATTAAAAAAAGGAAAAAAGGCTTTCCCTCCTATCATCCTTCCTCTGATGTTGCAGAGCCTCCACATTAATTCAGCACTAGAAAGACTCTCCATCAAGCCTCAAAACCAAAGGAGGAATCAGCTCATTTACTGCCCTATACCTGCTGTTGACTAACCAGGTCACAGACATGATTTCATTTCCTATACCCCACAACTGTAAGGAGGGGTAGTGCCAGGAAGAAGTGAGCAAGTAAGATTCCACAGGGCACAGGAAACTGCATAAGCTTACTCCACTACTTAAATCAGGCTACCTAGAAAGGACTCCAAGAAACAAAAGTACCAGGCCAAAAGATAACAGCCTGATGCTTCTCGCTTTCCGAGAACAAATGAGGCCAGGTGATGGAGGGAGGTATGGTATGTTTTCCAAGTTGTGCTGGCTGAAACAACATGCGTTTCTTTTCTGAGAAGTTTCATTTCTCACCTCCCCATCCCCTCTTGCCCTCAGGATAACTTTCCAGCCTGAAGCATGAGTCAGCCATTCCTCATGCAACAGTTTTGGGTGCAGAGAACAGGAGCCATATAGACACGGTCCTGGAACTCCACAGACAGCCTGAGAGCTTGGACAGCTGCCACTTCTTATACAGCAGCTGTCAACAAGCAGCTAGGATAAATAAAGTTATACCATAAAGGAACAACGAGCAGTGCTGCAACATGCTTTCCACTGAAACAGGCAGGGCTAGGGTGCGAGGAGCTCCAATATCAGCACTTTGGTGTTTTCAGAGGCCTGTATGAGTTCCTATTTTTGGAATCATGGCAGCGTGCCTTCAAAAACAAGAAGATTATTATACATGGTCTTCTTAAAAGAGCATTACATGCAGCTGAGAAGACAAAGGAATGTAAAGGATCCTGTATATGAAACTATTTTAGCAGATTCCCTGAAGGAGCCAAGAACCTTCACTTCCATCTTGCAATTAAAGAAAAGGTTGCCCTGCAAAGAGCCAAGTCTTGAGGCATGCACAGCTCCAATATACAGAGGCTAAAGAATTCTCAGAGGCATGTGGCGGGCACCACAATAAGCCCATGAAAATGGTGGCTGGCCCCTTTTTCTCCCTGCATAATTGGCTGTCTGCCTCCTTGACTTGGGTAGACCCCTATCTATGGTGCATTTCACACCACACTGAGCCAGCTTCATTGCAAGTTCAGGATTGTTAGCATCTTACTAGCTGCACCATCATAGTCACTGATGGATAATTAGGTGCATTAAGTGCCTTTCACATGCAGTCATGTGCACACACAGAGCCTCACCTCCAAAGTTGGCAAGTCTCCCAATCCGCGTGACCGGCACCTTCCGCTCTCGGGCCCGTTCACTGAGCTGCAACAGTTGGGAAGAGAAAAAAAATCCACACTGAAACTTGGCTAACAGGTGTCATATGAAGTCAGCATATAGCTCCTGTAATGCTTGAAGACCAGCTTTGGACTGAAGTCAGCATCTCAAACATGGGTCCTTGACATTTCATTGAGCATGGACTCCACCCTACAACATCTTCAAGTTTTCCCAGGTGAATTCAACATTGGCTACTTCACATTAAACATGTTGAACGGCAAACACCAGGGGGACATATGGTAAGGAAGCGCAGAGAATAAAAAGGCTTGTGTTCTCCCCTCTGGGAGATCCCTGCTTATTACCACCTCTGAAACCCTTTGATGTTCAGGATGCAGGAGGCTCCACGAGACCAACCTGTCCTTGTCCCCTACTGCAGAAACTAATGCTTATGAATGGTCCCAGGTTCAGGGCATCCCTCCAACAACAGGTGCAGCAGAAGCCTACACAGGTTTAATAAAAGCAGCACCATAAGTCAAGAATAAAATGCTAACATTTGCTGTAGGGTTTGGGGAAAGGAGACAGCAGAAAGCCAATCACAACAACAGTCCTCTCTGCCACGTAGTTTTTTACCCCACTCTAGTCTCTCCTCCCCCTTTCAAATGAAAGCCTGGTCAGAATTTAGGTCCACCACTGATGCCCAGGGACAAGAGTGCAAAGCTTACACTGTCCCACTTTATGTGGTTCACTGTGACCGAAAAGGATCACTCTTGTCATTGAGGATTTAAGCATATGCGAACCATTCAATCCTTCACACCTCTGCCAAATCTGCCAGACAACACAGTCCCTTCTAGGACAGAAAGGATTCTTTAGGACATTCCTTGAACTTCCAGGGCCTTGGGCTGTCTGCACCTGCTCTATGCCTCAGCTGTGAGCCAAAAGTAAATATAGACCCCTTCACTAGCCTAGGCATGCAGTAATACATTGAGTGCCCAGCATGGGGAAGGCAAGGTGACCCATCCCCTGGTAATACAAAGCAAAAGTCCAATTCAGGGTAGAGGTTTTAGCTTTACTCTCACACCAAATGAGGTGGGGGAGGAGGACTGACTAATACAGCATAGATGGAAACTAACAAGGAGACACATTCCCTTTTCCCCCACAAGCACTAAAGAAGCAGTGAGCCCAGATTTTGGAGAGGTCCCCACAGCTAAAGCCTAGGGCCAGAAATTGTTGTTGTTAATAATAATAATAATAATAATAATAATAATAATAAACAACTATAATAATAACAACCACCTACCATCTGCTTGTGAGGCTTATGTCCTGGATTACTTTTAGCCTGCCTGGCTTTCTCAATATCTTCAGCTGTTAGTCCACTTACAGAGGAATGGTCTTGGTGAAAAGCTCTGTTCTGCCCAGAGGCAGCAGCAAAAGGATTTCCAGGGTCCCTAAATCCTCCAAATAGCTTCGCATTTACTTTGGCAGAAAAGGGATTCTGTCCTGGGCTTGAGTCTCCAGTATCACTAACGTTTCTAAAAGGTCCATTTGTGGCATAGGCATGCGTTGGGCCCTCTGCCCCACTGCATTCATTGGGCTGGCCAGAAGATGATGACAAGTCCTGCGCAGAACTCGATGACGATTCTGATCCTGAGAAAGCATAGTCCCTCGCAAAATCCTCACTGATATCGGTTAAGTTCTCCTGCTTTTTTCCCAGCTCCTGCAAGTGGCATTGGAAACAGTTCAGAAGTAGAAACTGAAAAACCCATAACATCCACCAATAACTCTCATATGGGCATGTGATACTAGGCTGGATCTGAACTTTTCCTATTTAAGGTAAATTTAGTGTGGAATATGGTCCCACCATTTTAAGAATACCAGAGGAAGGAAAAAAAGCCAAGAGTAATAAATGTACTACTGAACACATTTTGTCCACTTTATTAATAATCCTTTATCCAACAAGATTGAAATAGTTAAAATAAAAAGGCAAGTCCCTGACAAACAGCCAAATAACACCCTTTAAGAAAGAAGCTCCATGACACAAATGAAAGTCAGGGAAAGTACAATAATACCAGAATAAGACAGTAAGCAGATAGTAAGATATTAACCAACTCTGAACTTGCTACAATACATTGTTTAGATACCAGTCACAGGAGCAAAAGAATAACCAGGCAGATAAAAAAAAAAAAATGCAGAATTTCCCATTACAGTGCAATTTAGCTTAGCCCTACATGTGCTATCACATCAGCACAGCCAAAGAATTCTGGTAGTATTCTTTAATACGATATTTCTTTGCCTCTGTAATTAGCTTGTGCTTAATGTGTGGGTAACAAGGTACCAGACAGCTAAATTCAATGAACTGGTGTTCTAGGCACACATTTCCCCTGTGGCTCTGCTCAGTCCTGACCTGCAATACCTGCCCTGCTAGCCCAGATACTTGGTTCACTATTCAGCATCAGTTAAGATTACCACAAGGGATGAGACATTAACTCTCTGAGCTATCTAGTGCCTCTGGCTCTCCTCAGCCACCTGCCTCCACAGTAAATAAATCCTGGAGGTGCTGCTGAGGCCTGCAGCCAATAAGTGGGGTTCTAATCCTCACATGATTATACAATCAGTGGCGCACTTTAGGCTCTTTCCCAAACGCTGATTATTTTTTCCCCTCTTTGAGGAAGGAAAGCAGGACATAGCCCTTCCTGTTATGTAGGCAAGTCTCGTGTAATTGCAAACAGCAACATCCCTGAAAAAAAACACAACAACAAAAAATATGGATTTTTATTCAATGCGTTGGGACCAGCCTTTATCACTGTATGAAAGGAGCAGATTTTATTTTTCTTCTTACTTAATCTTAAAAGGTGGCAAGAACTATCAGTACTTGACAAGGGCTACAAGACATTTATAGAAGGTTCCTGTCCTCACATCTTATAGCACACTAGCTTTCCTGAGACAAGCCACAGACTGTTCTTGTTCTGGCTATAACTCTAAATACAACTGATTTACAGATAGCAGGCTAAATGTACTGCAAACTTTTAAGTGCAACCTTCCTGCATTGCAGAAAAGTATGCAAAAAGCTATAGAAGTCTGTTACAGAATGAAGAACGTTCTCCCTATTTCTCTCCTGCCAAAGCATGCAACCAAAACATGTGAAAGAGCTCCCATATGAGACCTGGGACCAGAGAGAGAGATTCAAAGATCAAAATGTATACATAGTAAAACTGGGGTGCATAAACACCCATAAGTGGATATGATTAAGTCGCTCACACTTCACCAAAGCCAGGGCAAAGATAATATGGGCCTGGAATCCAGCAGATTCACAGAATATGGCCAGAAGAGACCGTTATAGTCTGTAGTCCAACTCCTTACAGCACAGGCTGCAGAACTGCAGTATTTTCTCTATCAAACCTACAACACATTTCAGGTATAAATATCTTCGAAAGTCATTATTTAGAGAATGTCCCACCAACCTAGGACCCTAAACACAAGAGATGGCAACACATAAGATGTAGAACTCTCCTGTACATCTGGTCAAAAGCACAGAATTAACAGTGACCATCTGCTGAGTACTACTAAAAATGCAAACTTAATGTAGGTTCGTAGCTTGGCTCTTCTGAAAAATCCAATCTAAACTATGAGCACAGAGAACCTGAACATCTGGCCCTGAACTCCTGTGCAAATACCATACACTTACATGTGTGACAGATGGGTTAAGAAGCTGCAGAATTCTGTCAGAGAAAGACTAAATGAGCATAAACCTAGGAAGATGGAAAAAAGGTAAGACAGGTCATCTTATGCATGGCCAAAAGGCCATCTTACACATGGCAATTTGACAAGACAAGATGACTAAAGCATATTTTGTATTCTGCATCTCTTACAACTCAGGAATAGAGCTGGGTGCACACTATGTAATAGAATCATAGAGAGTTAGGGTTGGAAAGGACCTCAGGAGGTGTTCTAGTCCACCCCCCTGCTCAAAGCAGGACCTTCCCCAACTAGATCATCCCATCCAAAGCGTCGTCTAGCTGGGTTTTGAAAACCTCCAAGGATGGAGCTTCCACCACCTCTCTGGGTAACCTCTTCCAGTGTTTTACTACCCTCCTAGTGAGACAATTCTTCCTAATATCTAACCTAAACTTCCCTTGCTGCAACTTGAGACCATTGCTTCTTGTTGTGTCAATGCCCAGTTTAGCAAAACAAAACTGGGAACAAAGCTATGTTGCATCCAACAACCATGAGACAGTTCCTAGAATGTGGAAACGAACACCATTGGCGCATCCACACTTGCAAGCATGTGCACTTGCAGCAGCTCAAACAGAAGCGGTGCCAATTTGAAACGGGGCTTTTTGCCTCAGTGCACATGCCCAGACATGCACTTTGGTGTGGGACAAATTGTGCCACTTGGGGCAAAATAACCCTGCCTGGCTCCTGGATCTGCAGCCAGGGGGAGCTTGAGCCTGGGGCCAGCACCTGTGCTATCCCCAGCAGTATAAAAAGCTGCCCTGTCCTGGACCCATCAGTACAGAAAGTTGCCCTGTCAAGTAGCTTAGGGCTACTCACTCTCAGGAGCTTCTGGGGCCCAGCCAATTGGTACCTGGGCACACTATACCTTGTGCCAGCTGGACTGCTAAAACAACCCTGCACCCTTTACCCACTGCAGCAGTCTGACCTGCTGCACATCTGCCAGACCCAGATGGGGACTGCACAGCCAGTGCCCCTTGGGACCGGCTGCCAGTGGGCTGTGGCTGCAAAGTTGGCCTTTGTGTGGCACTACTGCCATGTGTGCCTCCTGCACAGCCACCTAGGCAGCTATCACCTGGAAGATGTTCCAGGTGTGGTGGCCTGCTCTGAACTGTCAAAGCATGTCCTCCTGGCCCCAACTGGCCAGGAGGTCAGCCACCTCCAGCTGGGTCCAAGATGCCAGGTCTGAGCAGGCAGGGTCCTGCCACTGACCTCCCTAGCAGGAATTCTGGTGTTCCCTATTGAAAAAACTGAAAAATCCCTGATAAAAAAATCCTGAAGTCACTCTGTAAAATACCCCGAAATCCATGTTCCTCCACAATTAAAACAAAAGACCGAGAGAGAGAGCAAGAGATCAGTTGGGCAAAGTTTTATTGATATATCTACAGTATTAAAGCAATTTGGAAAACTACTGGTGTCTCTATCATCATAATAAAGTGACCTAGTCTCCCAGATTGCAGCCCCGCCTGGTCCCATCCCCTGCCGGCTCCTTCAGCCCCCTCAATGGCTGCCCCACCCATCCCCATCCTTTGCT